AAGGTACTCTGAGAAAGGTACTAACATTTATTTGCAGATCATTTTTTATTTAAATTTACTAGTGAAGAGTTGATATCCAGGGGATATTCATTATTGGTTTGTCATATAGCAATTTGGCAAACTGAGATAGGAAAGAGAAATACTAATTTATTAAAACTAATTTGGGTTGCTATATCCAGTACTTACCATTTTTTAATAATTTTTATATTAATCTGTTATTAACGTTTATTTTTATGAAATCAATATGACAAATCAATTAAAGTCTTGGCTTTCATTTTTGTCTGCTTATGAGGTATGGGTGTTTTATGATTAAAATGAATTACTTTACTATGAAAACATTTTGTTGCCATTTACATGTAAAAAAAATGGCTGTCTAACTTGAATAATGGCAAGAAAAGTATAGTTAAAAATATTTGACAAATTTATTTTTCATACTGAATAGTAAGAAAATTACTTGGTCTCCATGTTTGTCTTATTTTACTTCTATGTGTCCTGATAATATTATAAGCCATCTGTCATTGTGCTAAAAAGCAATACCAGGCAGTGGCACCATTAAAATAAAATGCCAAACACATAGAACTTGCTTTCTTGTTTATACTTTATCAATGTTGTTCTTTTTAATTACTTCAAGTGAGTTTTCTTTGGTGAAGTTTGTTGAAATATCACTTAGCCATATGGCAGACAGTTTTATATTTAATAGAAAGAAAAGAAAAAAAATTTAATCTTTTAAAAATGAAATTAAAAACTATACTACATCTGTGTTCTTTTGCTTTCTTGACTAATTTTTTTTCTTATTACCAGTATGAATTCCTCTAGGAATTTATTTTTTATATATTTTTTCTTATCAGGATAATATCTTAAGATAGTTACCATACAATATTATTACTTAAAAACAAATCTTAATCATTTTTCAGAGCATGTGAACAAAAGTCTGGACTTCTCCTCTTACAAAGCAAAGATCACAGAGCATACTATTTGGATACTTTTCCATTGGTTAACAATGTTGCTGGATGCAGTGGTACACATCTGTAATCCTAGTGACTTGGGAGGCTGAGTCAAGAGGATTTCACGATTGAGACCAGCCTCAGCAATTTAGCGAGGTCCTAAGCAACTTAGCAAAACCATGTCTCAAAATAAAAAATAAAAAGGGCTGGGGATATAGCTCAGTGTTAAAATCCCAGGTATTAAAAAAAAAAAAAGAAGAAGAAGAAGAAGTATATATGTAAACACCAAACATTATCTTGTAAAAGCGAAAAATGTTTTATTAGTTCTTGCAGAGTTCAGTTCTAATATATAACCTGATATATTTTAAGCATAATAATAACAGTTTTT